AACCCACAGTCTTGAAAACCTACACCTCGCCTCCCATCCAACCTGGTTCATGGACACCGGAGCCTCACACCACATCACCGCCGACTCAGGTACTTTATATTTCATGTATTTCCTTCAAACATTAATTCACCTTCTCATATTATTGTAGGTAATGGATCTAGAGTAAGCACTACGGGATCTGGTAACGGAACCCTTAAAACCAACCCTCCCCTCTCCTTAAATAATGTCCTTATATCCCCTCACATTATTCACAACCTTATCTCTGTCCGTCAATTTACTCGTGATAATAATTGCTCCGTTGAATTTGACTCATCTGGTTTCTCTGTGAAGGACAAACTGACGGGAGCCGTGATTCATCGATCCAGTAGTGACGGACTCCTCTACCCACTCTTTCAAGCCTGCCCCCCAGCACAACTTCACCTCTCCAAAGTCGACCTCCCAACATGGCACCGCCGTCTTGGACACCCAAGTCCTGATGTGCTCCATGGCATCTCTTCTGTTTTAGATAATAGTAAATCAAAATTAGATTTCATTTGTCATGCGTGTCAACTAGGCAAACATGTTCGCCTACCGTTTCAGTCGTCGAGTCGTATTTCTCAATTTCCATTTCAATTAATGCATACAGACTTATGGCAATCTCATGTTCCCAGTGTGACTGGCTTTAAATTTTACATGCTCTTACTTGATGATTTTTCTCATTATTTATGGGCGTTTCCTTTACGTCACAAATCAGATGCATACTCTCATTTGGTCAAATTTCATGCACTTGTCAAAAACCAATTTAATACGACCATTAAAGCTGTAGAATGTGACAATGACACTGAATACCGTAACAACCCACTTGCCACATTTTTTGAATCATTGGGGATCTTGTTTCGCTTATCTTGTCCTTACACGAGCCAACAAAATGGCCGCGCAGAACGCACCATTCGCACCATAAATAACACCACTCGTACCCTTCTATTCCAAGCCAATTTACCCCCCCATTTTCGGGTCGAAGCCCTTCACATGGCCGCTCATCTGTTCAACCTCTTACCCACCACCACACTACAAAAACGTACTCCTCATGAAGCCTTATATAACACCCCCCCACCCTACCATCACTTACGTGTTTTTGGTTGCCTATGCTACCCAAACTTATCCGCTACCACCCCTCATAAATTAGCCCATCGTTCTGCGCGGTGCATTTTCCTTGGCTACCCCGAGTCTCAGCGTGGGTATCGGTGTCTTGATCTCACCACTCAGAAAATTATTGTGTCACGCCATGTCACGTTTGATGAGTCTACCTTTCCATATGCACCCCCACAGTCTCCTTCCGATTACACATTCCTTGATGCCATGGAGGACAGTACCCCCCACATTTTCAACATCTCCT